GTCTACTGAATATATCGTTGTCTTGCAGGATGTATTATGGAGATAAATATCACTGTAAACCAGTTGAATCAAATTCATATTGCATTGAAATGTTGGGCTTTTAAGTCGATTGTTATATAAGTAAAAACAAACGACATGGAAGGAACATGGCGACATGGTTTATGCTACATCAAATAATCAAGATCTCGCAATCTCCCATGATCAGCAGGGATAGAGATACGGTATCATATAGAGACGGCGATAATACATACAGTCAAAAAGAATTAACGTCAATGTTCAAGGAGTAGGTCATATTTTATAATATTTAATTACTCACGCCTGTTAATCCTAGTGGAGTAGCATAAGCCGCACACCAGCGTTCTCCATCTTACCCTGTTTTGACAAATCCTTTCCAGTTGTTCACAGTTTCAACTCATACTTTTGATGTCTGTTTCAAATAACCGACTTAATTTGACCTTGGGTCCCTTTTTCAGTTTCCATTCAGGATTCCAAGTTAGTGTTTACCTCATAATGCCCTCCTATATCCAGCGTGTTTTCCTAGTTTTCTCTCCAGTTGGAAGCAGGCTTGTTCCTCTCCACAGTAGATGGTCGCCGACGGTAATCGGTCGGCGTGGACAACTGTTTTGAAATACTCTATGACAAGCGGTGACAGGGTTACATGAGTTAGAATCAGGACAAAAGTTAGACTATGAAAGGGTCAAAATATTCCTAAGAGGGTTTGACATGAATAAAGAAAGATTAACATGCGGAGCGCTGTATGTATGGGCTAACCGAATCAGTCTAGACAGATGAGATAGTATTCAACCAAATACCCTTCGGTAAACGATCATCAAGCAGTAATTGGACCATATCTCTATCTAACCTGTGCTGAAAGAGATTAATCTGAATATGTTGTCGTTACAACTATAAATTTAATGCTTCTTACGCACGTTGATATTTCAAAAACATCTTCAATTTACACTTTTGTTCATGCTTTTAATAAGCAAATGGACACCGAACATTAACTATCAGTAACATAAAGCTACACATAGGCATACACTCATTCATGTGTCCGTTTTCATTTTGTGAAGTTTTCAGATGATATGCATCCAGCTTACTCATATTATCTTACTTGGTAAAGTCAACATCTAAATATTATTGAACAAACACTTAGTACAGATTTAATTTGACTGTTAGGCATTATGTATTTTTCGATAAGTGCAGTCGAGTTTCTTAGACGAAACATTGGAAGTATTTAAAATTTAATCTCTGGAATCATTTCAAACTTAATTTCCGCGTATAAACCTAAGAATGAACTATAACCTCAGTGATCACGTATGAAACTACAGTTTAGAACATGATTGATGCAAGACGTTTCTTTTATAAGAGGCTGATGCTTTAAATTTGTAAATATATGGCAACCTAAATAAAAAACGAAGTAGTACCAAATTATTTCTGCCACTAGGATGTTTTGTCCGGAAACACCAAATTTTCCTATATTAACAGGGCCAGCGAAATGTCACTCGGCCCTAACCACATCGTCCAGCAGTCAGGTCACTGATTGTCGAGCAGTTCACCAATCGTCGTCATGATGAACCGTAACCGACGCGCAACAATAAATTGCACGTCATGGACTGTACTGTGCAGCTATGTTCACATTGTTTCTTGTACCTATTCACATCTATACTTTTCTAATTACGTCCGTCTTGTTGCATGGTTATCAAAGTAGCCAAAGTATCTCGACATGACAAAAAATAACCCACATTGGGTGCTAGGCGTGAGGTGTGACTTCGACGTTATCTGATTGTCCAAACCGTATCCGTCTAATTTTAGTAGACCCCAATCATTCGACACAGATCGTCTACGTAAGTGATCTACTTACGAGTGTTTTGTCCTGTGGAGCATTCAAGTAAACCCAAGGTCAGTTTCTGTTACAATGTCTACCCATTTGATAATGAAACTCTGAAATTGAAAATTAGGCTGATGATGATGAAAAGAAAAATATCAAAAAATATTTACTGATGTGGAATCAACCGACAATTAGTTCTAGACAGTCTTTTATTCCTTATTTACATCAAATCCTGATCATGTACTGTATTTAATAGTAGTCAATATTATAATTGAATCACACCTACCTAGTGAAAGTCAGAAGCGAGGAGGTTCGAAAATCTATTTGATAGGTTATCAATATGAAGTGGTATTGGGCCCTAATACGAGACAATGTTGTAAATAGGCATTCAACATTTAACACGGAGAAAAACCCAACGATGAAGAGGGCGAGAAGAATGAATTGAATTAATTGGAGTTGGTCGGATGGCATGGCTCGGCCATGCAGGCGTGGTCCCTGTGGAATGTTACCTTAAATCTTTCATTCATATTAAATACATTGTTCTTTCTCTAGCCTAAGCTTGTTCTCCATCATGTATTGGTAATTGTTACGATACAGTGAGTCGGTGTAGAAGACGATGTGACTTCCACGTAAGATCTTACAGATTAGGCAGTTATATCATGACAAGTCTACAATTTTAGGATTAGGTCCATTATTTGAGCAGTACTAATATCATAGCAGACCATAATTCTACAGATACATCGAAAAGTGACTGACCTAAACTGGCTGGCGCTTGCAGTAGAACTTGAGCACAGCGTTCCCGCTCGTGAGCTGGTGCTGATGAGTGACCGAACTCCTTCAGTTAGGTGAGTCCATTAAAACTAATGTGGTCATCAATAAATGTCAAAGACTTACAGAGCTATTCCTTTATGGGAATTTATTTACTGCCACAGATTTTATGAATTTGGACATTAAACCCAGTCAAGCCAGAATTCAGGAATGAATAAGTCCAATGATACATTTTCAAGATAGTCGGTATATCGTGAAGTGTGTGATCTATGCTAGCTAGTTGATGCGAGGGAGTATAAATAAATTTCGCGGAATACATGTATACTGGAGGTGAAAACTCTACTGAAGCTTGTTTCTTCAGTCACATTGAGGACCTACAGTCATCAAGAATCTCCCTCTTCATTTGCCAAGCCGCAAAAGGCACTACTGGAAGGAATACAAGCGAACTGGTATTAACAGCACATACAGGCGATTCAAACAAGTGAGGAACATATGCCCAAATGTAATAATGGAAGACAGGCTACAGTACCAGATAAAGCTTATCAAGAAATTTGTCTCCAATCCGAAGGACTTATTCCATCATGCAGCATCTCTTCGACAAGCCGAAATTGGAGTTCCCTGACCGCTAGTTATTAATGGACGACCAACAACAATGGTGACGCCACTTACCTTCTGGCTGAACAGTACTCTCAACATTTCAACTGACCCACACTAACTGAATTGATGAGAGCCTCACCTACAACTCTACAGGACCCCTAAACATTATGGAGTCTCCGACATGCGACGATCTGCACGACCACTTACTATCCATAAACTTCTCGTCATTCCAAATGCACAGTTCCATAAAAGCTGAAGCCTGTATAACCAAACTGACAACTGTGGTGGATAGCCATTCTTGGTCGCAAAAAGAAGATTGGTGTCATGTACATCGACTTTCAAAAGCTTTCAATGAGGTCAACCACTTATGTCTTATCAAGAAGCTAATACGACGATGTATCAAATCACCTTCAATTGATTGGCTCACTTCATATCTAAAAATCGACATTTTAAGGTAAGTGTTAACTATACCTTCTCTTAAACGATGGAATGTCTTAGTGGGAACCGCACGGTTCGTTACTAGAACCTCATATTTTTTATCCATATAAATGACCTTCCACGGCAGATATTGTCAGATTTATTACTTGCAGCTGTCGATGTGAAAATCTGGAGAGAAGTATGCAATCAAGAGGAGAGACTGAAATTTTGGGGGATCTGACTCGACTTTAATGTTGGGTAGATGACAACGAACTTATCTTTAACACTTCAAAGTGCAGAGTAGTCCATCTGAGACACCTTGCAGACCGCAGCTACAACATAGGCAACTTTTCTCTAGAGGTGTCGGAACTGTAAAAACATCTAGGAGTGTTGGCAGCGTTTGATATGAAGTCTTTCGCTTAATACAACAGAAATTTCTTCCGAGTAAACATTGTACTTGAAACGTTGAAGTGCATTTTCGACCAATCTGGCGAAAGAACATTCCGTATAGTTTTCAACAGTTTTATGCACACTCCCTTCCAATAAACCGCTTTCGTTGTACTAACCTTAACTACCCTTCCTTCATGTGAGCTTACTCCAACATGCTAAACATCACAACTCATTGTTCTTTGTTACTGCACTCTCTTATATGAAGCCTCTGACTTAATTTCACTCTAACAAGAGATAATATGAATTTAATCTAATTTATTATACCTCTGTCTGTTCTACTACAAAATGTTAAGCAACGTTTGGCGTTCATATCCAATTGCCTTTTTTCTCTTCAGAATCTTGCTTTGAGCTGATAGCTATGAAACTTCTGACGTCTGGAACAAACATGACGTACGCGTCTTCTCAAGGTCATGGTATGCAGCAAGCGCTCTACGAGTCTACTTTATAACAACTGTTAACTTAGTAATTTGGGAAGCATGCTGTGCGCCAACAAATGTTGTAATCTGTAGATCATGCCTGTAAAAATGACGTGTACCTGCTCATGCAGAAATATTATTATTGTCATTATTATACCTATGTTCCTGCCTGGAAGCATCGATTATTCCCTTCTACTAGATACGGAGGCCCGTTGAGCGAAAGCTTCTTATATTCCGTTCACAACTATTTGGGAGTGAAATGAAATAATTTCCTTTCTGTGCATTTGCGCCCAAAAATACTGAGTTTAAGTGATCACAAGCAATTAGATTTAAGAAGGGAAGGAATTTGAACCAGATTAGACTGACACTGAACCGGAAAATATAGGAAAGCGCTCTCGAGTTAATGCTCTTGAGAGTGATCTAAATTTTATGAAAGATGAAATGTATTATCAAGCACTATTCTCATTATTTGAAAGATTATCAAAGTGAAAATGTTTTTTTTGCACCAATAGTGTATTATTTCAGTTGTGGCGCTAGCGTCAAGTTTCGTCGGAATAACCTATGACATCTACATCTGAAGAAAGGATCACTATCGCCCTGCAAAAGATAACTCAAAAGTTGGGGAAATGTTTTCTGTGAGTGTTGCCGAGGTTTTATTATTTTTAGCGAAAACGTTGAACATAAATGCAGCCATATTAGATCTAAAGATGCAACTTGGTTCAACAACATTGTACAAGATATCGTGGTTGACTTTCAGAAGAATTCATCTGAAGCCTGCGCAGCTGTCCTCTCGCAGTACGATATAAATAACAAGGAAATCCTGTTGGAACAAGCTAACAAAACACTTAACCATACGAAATCCTGGTAACTTACTTCAATACGCCCTTACAAATTAGTGTAGGCGACCATCTGGAGATCCTGAAAAAGATATCAGGGCTCACCTTTTGCCTCTCAGCAAGTCTTATATGGAAAATTTATCTTCTTGTTCTCAAGAACTGGATTCAGAATTGGGTAGACGTTCAGAGGAACTAAGGAGATTACGTCAAACTCTTTACGATGAAGTAATTGAATTTCGATCTTTGGCTGAGAAATTACAAAACGTAAGTAGCTCATCTTATGTTTGAGACGTCTCTATTGGTATAAATGTCGTAAAGACCTGTGAGCTATTTTATGTGATCCTACCATAAGAGAAATAGGAATTTCGTGTATTATCAATGACTATTTACTGATCACCTAAATGATGAGCATCTAAATTACGAATGTGAACGGCGCAATATTATAATAATAACCTCAAGGATTTTCAGTTGCTCTGATGGGTTCACTCGAAAGGTTCTCCAAATATATAACAGATTTGTGCGATAAGTCAAGTTTAGATGAGAAATGAGTTGCTGAAACAAGCTTGTTTTTATTGAGTAGATGAGTTATATCTCCATATATACCATGCAGACTGACTAATTTTGAAATATTCACACGTTTCGTCACCAGCATTCAGATCCTTATCATATTAGTTAAAGCCTCATCAAAGAAGATCAGTTAAATTTTACCTACTAAGTAACTGAAGGATGGATATGTATTAAAAGGGTTAAAGTGTGAACACCAGACAGAAGTATGGGTTTGTTTGATCAGTTTTCCACAAATAATCTGAAAAATGAATTTGGCACTACAAAGCACTAGCTGACTTCACTGCACTTAACAGAAAAGAGGAAATTAGCAATGCTGATATCGACAAGTGGAATATTAGTAAATGGTAGACGAAAATATGTGATGTTTGTGTGTAGCCAATGAATTTTTAACATTGTTAAAACCTTATCTACTCGAAAAACAGTTATTCATGGAGTTCAGATCTACTGGTCACAACCTTGTGAATTTGTCTTGTTTTTAACTGGTCCATTCTCAGGCTTTATTCAGTTTTAATAACACTGAATCGGTAATGCTAAGACACGAACTAAGCGCTTATAAAACGGTTTGGATTCAAAATACATAAGATTAACGTACATTTTTTGAAACCACTTAGCATGTCCAATCCACTGATCCTAGCAAGGGCGAACAATGTTTCGAGGATACTTATAGTTTAGTACATTGATTCTTTTTATACCCTACTTTTATACTATCGTTTCCCATTTCTTAAGTCATGACATTGCACTCTTGTGTATTTGATTTTCAATACTGAACAAAGAAATATATGCTACAATCGACACTTAAAAACTTTTTCTGGTAGTCTACGGTGTAAGTTTACTCGAACCACCAGATAACGAATTTATTGTTAGGTATTGTATTTAGCCACTAGTGTATCTATCTCAAGATACATTTTAGCTGTCTTTTCTTGAAAAGGTGCTTGGATATCTGGATAGGCGAGAATTATTGCTTTTGAGTAATCTGTTTGTCCTGCTACAAACCAGTCATTGTCGCAGGGTCACAGGCAGTGACCTGCTAACAGTCTGCATAGAACTGGGATATGTTGGTCCATCACTACTTAACTAGGTCGTACAGACAGTAATAAGAAGAGGGCTATTTTGTTGCCCACACAGTTTGGTTGTGTAAATAGGCTGCGTCAATCAAATCATCTGCACCAGGACCCCTTTTTTCAATCCTGTACCCTTCAGTACTCAAACAGTGTTTGGTGTATTCATCCTATGACAATATAACCCAGTGTTTCAATCTCACACTCTGTATTTCAAGTACTTATAATGTATTTTAAAAGCCTCAGTTATAACGTGTGGAAAATATTTTACGATAACCTCTCACGATGTGTTGTTAGGGCATTCGAAACAAACTGATACTCTATCTGTCGAAGTGTTGCTTAAGAACAGCCTTGAACAGATTACATATATTAGGGTTGGTTAGTAGAAAAAGTACTTTGGAACCTTAACCTTGATGAGCGCATTAGGGAAACTTCCAACTGTAGTCTCACATGTTAATTAAATAAATGTATATCTTAGCGATGTGTTTCCACAGTAATCGATAGTTGATGAATGGCAGAAGACTACTGAAATTGCACATTTGTCAAGGTCTTATAATAATGTACGTGTTGTGTAATTTTGTGACTCGAGTAGTATGTGCTTTTGATGCTTCTAAGTAGTTATATGATCCTAAATCAATGGAATTTAAAAACAGCCCATCAGCTAACTTCCTCTCTCAGTTTCATGAGAGGAGCTGTGTCTTAGCGTCTCTAAGTAATTGGCTATTGCGTTGGCTAGTGATTTTATAAATGTAAGTTTAGGATTCTATCCTTTTCCAAAACTATTCCCAGAGTTTAATTGGGGGTTTTGCAACATGATACCTAGTGCGGCCGAGGTTGGGGCGAGTCGGCTCTTCCTCTCGAAATGCTTTTACATGGCCGCGAGTATACAGCCACTGGCAGGGAAGTCCTACTCACTGCCTTCTCGCGGCGAGGGTGTTGTTTACGAAATTGAGAGAACGAAAAGCGAATGTCTGGCGCTTTAACCGGGTTGGTGCATATGGAGGATCCACCTGGGGGAGTTGGAAAACCCTGATTCCAAACCAATGGTGCACATGGGCTCCAGCATTCTGAGAGAACAAATGGGACTGCATCTCCTGATGTTACTCCACTGCCTTGTGGATCAGATATATAGGTCGAAGGCTCCGGGTGTGGCTTCCTAAGAAAACCACTTGTTTCGATCTGGACACACAGGCAGTATCAGCCCATACACAAATCAAGTAACTTGTGCGGCGCATATGTATTCGTTGCCCCTTTGTATCAATATTTATATGTTCGAATAAATAAACTGAAAAAACACCAGGTTAGCCCTTGCTGTATAAATTGATGAGCTTTAGTTCCAAATACCATCTTAGGAACTACTAATAAGAATGGGATTTACTTCGTTACGTTGTTTTGATCAAGTTGATCATGGCAATACCAAGGTATGTTCCACAACTTTTTTATCAGAAAGAAAAATCGGAGCACATAAGGTACTTTTTCATTAAACTGGTAATTGTACTCTGCTGAGATAATGTCAAGTTTAATAGATGAAATTGCTAGTTATTTTATTAGACATCAAATAGTTTTCACAAAATACTGATATTTCAGTTTAAACGCAACGTCAAATTGATTGTGTTGTAAATTTGACGGTAATTCTACATTTATATATGTGCTAGAGTAATGTTAACTTGGTGCAAGTAAGCCCTAGAAAATTCTGTTTAGTGTGTTTTATTGTTATAATGTAGTAGTGGCATTACTTTAGAAATGAACGATTTAAAAATTCCTATATATGTAGGTAAATATTATACAATGAAGTAATTTACATATCACCACTTTTAATTTGAATCAATAAATACACTTCTTTCTTCATGTAACGCTCGGAATGAGAATATTTATATTGAACACCTTAATATTCTAATGCTTTTTCCCATTTTTCAGTTATCCAAGTCCACTAAAAGTTGTGGAACATGTACTTCTGAGTTTCAAGAATCACCTAACTCGATGCTAGACAAATAAAAAAAAGAACAAAAAAGTCTAACTTCTGCTCATGATTTTTGACTGTTTTATTTCCTTAATTATTGATGGGATTGCAAACTTTCTATACTTTTTTATTTGTAACTCAATCTTTATTTTATTTATTTGCTTTTGTTAATGAAAATCAATAAACGAATATTCATTTGAAAAAATAAAATAATTTATGTTATAAAACTGCCGTTGTCCAATTAGGCCACAGATTCTTTGATTTACCAAATAAAATGAGTAATGTTATATGTTTATACACGAATAATAGATTTTAATGCTTTAATCTAATTATGAGAACGAAATACGTATAAATATCTATCAAGTTGACAGTAATTTAGGACTTGATACAGGGAGAATACTCACAGTCAACGTTAATATAATCTTTCGCAGATAATTGTACAATCGACGAAAGTTTTTTTAGACTGTTCAACTCCATAAATCACACCAGTCCCTATATTTAGGATCATTGTGTAGAATCTTTAAGACTGCAGAAACCAGTGTTCAGAAGAATCGTTGTATGGAATTGCAAATTATTGTCGTCAATAGATTTACGCTTTAATGATCAAACTAAACGTGAATACATTATTTATTATGTGTCTGTTCTCTCTTACCTCATTTTAGGGAAATAACTTGTTCTTTCATTATCCAATAAAGTGACAGAACTGTGCGATACTGTTGCTTACTATATCATTTTAGTCAACCACCTACTCACAATTATACATCGACAAGGTTTTTGTATATGCTATCCAATGTTTTAGGACACCATACTCAATTGCTTTAGAAAAACAAAGTATAAATACATTCCGAATTCGGTAACTATCTGTTCCACACGGTAATCCTGTATATGATATTTAATATGTTTCATCTCACATAAACCGATCAAATGTTCGTTTACTTCTTCGCGATATATATGAAACAGTTAGAAGACACTTCTGTATTGGAAAGCACTTTGCATAAGGAAGTCTAGTCATTACCTCTTCAATATGTAGAAGAAAAAGTCTATCACAGGGTATAATTGTCTTTAGGCGCTTATTAGTCAACTTGACCTCCGTATAAAGGGTATGTGTTTAGTGGGTTTTTCTGACCCAATGTTCATTCGTATCTGTCCTAATTGACTTGTTTTGTGTGATAATATATAGCTCTCGTTTTCAATCATAAAAATAGCTCTTACCAAAAATTATGCTTCAGAAGTCAAAGATAGATCACACTAGTGAAACCAATTCTAAGTAAAATCAGGGTGTTTCCCATTGTCATTTCCAACCTATTTGTAAATACCTTCGCGGGCTGATTTTATAATACTTTATTTCCCAGCACATGTCTAATAACTAAGATAAATAATTCTTTGACTACTACATGCAGTATTATTATCTTTGTACGACCGATGTCACTAGGCCACAAGTTGATAGTTCCTCAATATCTTTAACACCGTTCACACAGTACTGCTGTTTTAACATTTTGATTTTTCTTCCATGATACGTGTTTCCTTCTGTTGACTGAAATCAATTCAATTGAACAACCAAACTCAAGTCTATGCAGCTGACTTTGTCTCACCTTTCTACGTGAGGTCTGGTGATACTTCTCACCTATCTAAATCAAAATAGGTATAGTTGTGTTCGAATCTGCAACTGAACGACTGAAAGTTGGATGCGGTAACCACCATCCTGTTTTGTCACAAATGCGAAAAAGAAGTCAGGATTGATTCGTATGTGATGTGTCGCCGGTCTTAACCTTTAAGATGTATGATATAAGGGATTAGGCAGTACCATAATCAAGAAATCACCCAATAATGCAGTCGGCGGTTTTTATGAATTTTGTCCCTAAATTTTGGATTGACATTCCTTACGAAGCTTTTTGAAGGTACAGTTGACTAGACTGGTGGACATGAGGACTTGGTTTTAGCTTCGATATCCCATTAGCTTTCCTGCCTTAGACATGATCTTGATTTATTAGGTCAACTGATTTGAAAGTTCTTGCGTACATAAATATACTTCACTAGTCAGTCTGATATTCCATTTACTGAGAAAATAGTCCAGTGCTCACTTACACTTTCGGCTTCAGGCGGTCTAAAATTAGCTGTCTGATCAGAAATGCCGCTTGTCTCAATTGGTTTTATCGGGTCTGCTATTGTATTATTCTTTTGGATAGTGACAATTTAGTAGTGCAATATTGCGTGAAAGCTTATGTAGACCTATTCTAACAACTTTATTCAAGCATCTGATAACTGCTGAATCCATATTTGTAGTGCCTTTAAAAGTAACCTCTGGATTCTTAAACTCATTCCACATCTTTTTGTGACTTTCCTAAACTCTCTATCAAGGTGACAATATGTACGCCCATAAAATTATATATATGTACATACATACATAAAGGAAAACTTTAGAAAAAGTTATTTCGCTTACTTTTTTGTTGAGTTGGTTTGTGCATACATTCTTGAATTAAATTCATCCAAGTAATGTGATTGGAAATTGAGAGACCTAAACTCGGATATTTTTTCCTCGCCAGTGCTTCATAACGACAGTGAAACTTTCCATGTACTGGGTGACAGGTATGTGATTCTATTCTAGGTAGATTAGTTCGTTTATCTGATATCTTATGTTGTTCTGAATCTACATGAAACGCTTTTGATCCTTCATACGTCCTGTCATTACACCCGTACATTCTTTCTCAGTTAAAAAAATACCAAGAAAATACTAAGTAAAATAACCTTAATAGTTATTTACAATAGTTTTTTAACACTTAATTATTACAGTTCATTTTAATAATAAGTAACATATTCATGATTCTAGATTTTTACACAAATTATGTATGTATCTCCCGTCTCGATATTGCTCCTTGTATGGTGTTTTATGAATTATATTGCGCTTTATATGAACTTTGATAACGTTAACTCTTGCCATATTCTATATCAAATACAATTGACTTTACATGCAAGAATCCCGATGTCGTTTCTCCGACTGATCGGTAAAGAGAAACACATCAATCAATGAAGTGTCTCAGTGTGGGTTTTTAACATGTAGTCTCAATGATAAGTTGTAAGCATCTTACATAACCTCATTACTACTTTACCCTGTCGATATACATAATTAGTTGGCTAATAAAAATGTGTAGAAATTGAGAAAATCAGTAGTACAGGTTTAATTAAGCTGTGATTTACAAGTTTTGAAACTAAAAGATCGTTATAAATATTTATTATTGGCGTAGGGAATCATTATTTAGATTTGACTTATGGTCAAACTGATAAGTTGGTTGTAAGGGTTTAATGAATCTGATATTTCATATAGCAACACATTTTGCACTTTAGATCATTCATACATTTGAACTGAGACTTTTGTAAAATTGAAACTCAATAAATTGTTTTTCTATTTAGTCGTAATTACAACTCCTAATTTAGTTTAAATAAATTGTGTTTCATCTTAAGTTCATGCTAATGATGTTGTCTGGAAAGGCAACGAAAGCTTCGTGATTGAACTATCCATCACAGAGAACACAACTACACGAGAAATCGATCACGATTTTATAACAATAAACTTAGGCTAAAGTAAATGTTTACATATGTTTGTATAGTGTAACAAAGATGTTTAGAGTCTGAATAGAATAAAAAAAGATTGAATAAGATATTACAATCCCATATCATTTGGAAGATTTTAATAAAGTATTTAGGCAATATTATAGTAAATAAACACAAGCTAACAAGAATTAAAAAAAATTAACATCACAAACTGAATATTATCTTCATCTAGAACATCTTATTAATAAAATTATATGTAAAATTGGATAGTGTCTAGCAGTGATATCAAGGACGCGCGTTTCGTCTTATTTCGGATTCATCAGCTGGCACTGAAACCCAGGCAATATGCACATATGACAATAAAAAACTGATCAATTGCAGTCCTAAACATCAATGAGAAGATCCAAGTAAACAATACCAAGTGATTATAAGCAAAGATGGATAGTGGCTAGCAGTGGAATCCAGGACGCGCGTTTCGTCCTGTTTGGGACTTGTCAGCTGGATGTGTAGTGAACAAGAACACAGGTGGGGACAAAAATTACAGACTGTATCAATAAAATGTGAATACCATAAAGTCAATCGTCAATTTGCAAAATATCATTCCATCATATCAAACTGTACTGTTCCCGTTGCAAACACTAATCCATTGTCTCCCATTCCATTGTACATGCATTTTCTTACAATTCCATTGTGCTTTTGCTCTTCCTTTCTTGATCTTCGCCATCTTCTGCTGCCGGACATTACGTTCTTTTAACGCACGTTATATACTACTTATATAAGTAGCTCACACCACAGATGTACCTGCATCTCAGAGTTGATGTTCACTCTGGGACTCGAACTCAGTACCGTTCGCTTCAAACGCCATCGCGTTATCCACTTAGCTACTGAGTCCTGATAGCCACTTGCTTGTGCCAGTAAGAGACTGATCAATTTCAGTCCAAAAACATCAATGGGAAGATTCAAGTAAAACAATATCAAGTGAATTAAACTTCAACCCATAGCACAAGCAAGTGGCTATCAGGACTCAGTAGCTAAGCGGATAACGCGATGGCGTTTGAAGCGAACAGTATTGAGTTCGAGTCCCAGAGTGAACATCAACTCTGAGATGCAGGTACATCCAGCTGACGAGTCCCAAACAGGACGAAACGCGCGTCCTGGATTCCACTGCTAGCCACTATCCATCTTTGCTTATAATGCTTGTAAATTAAGGCAATATCGAGGCATACGCTCAGTATGCACATATGCCAATAAGAGACTGATCAATTTCAGTCCAAAAACATCAATGGGAAGATTCAAGTAAAACAATATCAAGTGAATACCAAGTGAATTCGTTTTATTAAATATTTATAATTTGCTTAGATTTTAACATTATTTGTTACATTATATGTACTGTACATTTTTGACATTTTATATTTTGCATTATTTATTCGTATAGTTTTCCACAATCTTTATTTTTGATGGATTGTTAATTTATTATCAATGGTTATAATCACAGTAATGGGTGACTTTTTATATATATGAAGTGAAATGGCTTATATTCCTTTAAAATCTACATACAGTGTTAGTTGATTAAATAATCGTTATTACATGGTTATTGTATATACCAATTACTTTATTTGTATTTTGATTTTTGCCATTCATATTATTTATTGAGATTTTATTTACATTATTGAATTAT